TGCATATTTAATATGTCTGGGATTGACTGATTGATTCGGGATAATAATAGATTGTAAACAGGGTTTGCTGTAAATGTCCATCCAGACTTTTCCTTTCTTGCAGATGATAGTAAGATTGAGGAAATTAACACTATTGTTGCTCCCTTGGTCCAGATGTAATGTCAATCCATAAGGGTTATCATTGACAGCGTTTAGGAACTGTTGAGTGTTATGTTCATTTTTCCACAGAATGAAAACATCATCCACGTATCTGGAGTATAAAATGATGTCATCCTGAAATATGGGTAGGATAACATTCTCAAGCTGACATAACATCAATTCTCATAGGATAGCAGACATTGGACTATACATCGGTACTTCTCTCCCTTGTAAGAAAAGCCTTCCTTCAAATTTTAAGAAAGATGTATAACATATTAAATCAGCTAGTTCCAGGATGTGTGTATGGTACTTCCCTGCATTCTCGATGTTAGCAAAAAGAAAATCTCTTAACACACAAAAACAAGAAGGTAATTTTATTGAAGAATATAAGGATTTGTAGTCCATAACAGTAATATATTCTTTATCCTTGAGAGAAATGTCCCTGAGATTCTCCATTAGCTGTAGCAAGTTGGCAATAGCAAAGGAGTGTCATTGTTCCTTAGAACGAATAAAATGGACTAGCTGCTTCTCAATGTAGAATATGGGAGAGTTACATTTTTCTATAACTGGACGTATCTGGTAGCCTGATTTATATGTCTTGCCAAAAGCAAATATTCTGGGTGCTCTTTGGGCGAGGATGTTAGAGTTCTGCATATGCAAGAGATGTGCTAATGGGGTAGCGGTGAATCTCCTGACCCTCTGCTGTAAGGACTCCAAATAGTTGTTGAGAGATACTCCATTAATAGGAGCCTGGATAGTACTGTTCTAGCATCATTCGCCAAACAGAGTTAGAAGCTTGATCCAAAAGTTAATGTCTTTTGGATCAAGCTTCCATCATCAGAACTCCGACCAACAGACATGCAGTGAGGCATCTCAAGGGACTAGAGATATACAAGACACACATGAGAATGGGTTGCATTAATCATAGAAATGCAGACACATTGTCAACTGCATGGAAATCTTTTTACAGTAATATGCGTTAATACCATGTAGTCATCCTGTATTTTTCTTTTTTGCGGCTTTATTTTTATTTTATTCTTATTGTATTGTTTATAAGTAATCCTCATGCGCATTTTATTTTTGTATTTACGCACACACAATTCCTGTTTTGATTTTTCATATTTATTCCATACGTTCTATTTTAATGTTCTTTCTTTTTTAATGTTCGATTAGCTGATGAACCCCGTTAAAAATGGTTGAAAGTGTTTTTATATTATTAAATATTTATTGCTGGATAGATAAAAGTAGGATTTATTTCAATTAATTGAAAAGTTCCAGTTTATTAATTAACTTTACAAATGTTTATTGTTTATTTGAAATTTGCATTAAAAGTTGAGAGGAAAATTTCATCATCAAGTGGTAGAACTTAAGTTACTGTAGCAACTATTATCTGCTTCTAAACTTTCCTGCCAAAAAAAACTATCGAAAGTTGTGGAAAAATTTGTGACTTTGGAGCATTCTATTTTCTATTGTAAGTGACTTTTTTCACATTTTGTAATTTTTAGGTCATCTTCACATTGAGCCAATCAAAATGATTTAATTAATTAAATCTGATTATGAGTTATTATACTTAAACATGTATAATAATAATAATAACTTGTAACCTGATTTAATTAATTAAATCCAAACAATCTGCTGAATTAACTTAGCCTAAAAATAGGCTGAAAATTTGGCAGATTATTTTGATTCAATGTGTATGGGTTTGAACAAATTAAGAGTCTAAATAATACTTCCATGCATTTGGTATGGGAATGTAATCCATGTTGATGCATGCTCCTCTTATGTTAACCCTGTAGATTTCTGCAGCCTTTAATGTTATGTGTTGTCTGTTGAATATCCTGTATATTAGGGTAGCTTCATCCCATAAGGGGAAAATTCCCAGCTCAGTGGCATATCAGGCCAGAGCTGTATTGATGTTGCCACGTCATACTTGTGATCTCGTAACTGGGCTTGTAATGATCTGTATGTGGAACCAATGTATGTTAGTGTCCTGTTGAACCTGTCATCCTGTGGGATGTGATAAACTCCTGGTGCTCTTGCATCCTCAGTTTCATCCTTCACATTAGACAAAAGGTGGAATACGGTGGGTTTCCTTTTGTATGCTATGCATATGTTTAAATCCTTGGCCATCCTCCTGTATATGTGATGGAGGGATGTTTGTAACTTAGGACTACCCATATCTCTTCTGTGTTGTTAACATTAGTATTGGTGTTGATTGACCTGGCCTGATATGTGGATGTTATATTGTTGATAAATACATGGCTGTACCCATGCTTGGATGTGATATGTTTCAGTTGAACTAGCTCATCTGAGAGCTTCGTACAATGTGAGTGGGCTCTAGCCACAAGTGTGCGGAAAGCAGACGTTTTATATGACCAAAGGTCAACAGAGTTGGCTGGTATGAATAGAGAGATAAAGGTGGGTTTGCAGTACACTATGGTATTAAACTTATTATCCACATGAATCTTGATGTCCAAGAAATTAACATCTGTGTGGCTTTCTTGATCTAATTTTAGTGTTAATCTGTTGTTATTATTGAACACTTTTAACACATCCCAAACATCCGATCTATTTCTCCATATAATGAAAATGTCATCAATATATCGGGTATAAATGAGGATATTATGTTTGAAGTTTACTAAGGGCCTTTAAGTTGCTGTTGAGACATACTTCAAAATCTATAACAAGATGTTTAAGATTTCTAAAATGAAAAAAAAAAATTTATTTCTTGGACATTTTTCAACTACCGTGTTTCCCCGAAAATAAGACAGTGTCTTATATTAATTTTTGCTCTGAAAAGTGCGCTAGGTCTTATTTTCGGGGAAACACGGTATTTCTCCCCATGATGTTGATGATGATTGATATTTATCTATTTTCATGATAACCGAACTTCATCAAAATGAGTAGTATCTACAGAATATTTCAAAATTAAAATCCAAACAATTACCTGAACCCCACAAAACAATGTGGCACTGTGTCTAGCTGCTAGGCCAAATAATAATAATCTGTCAAAAATTTTGGTTGACACATTAGAAGATTTTCATCATAGATTTAACAATTTTGACATGCATATTTAAAAGGATTGTCCATCCCTGGTACTAAGGCATATTATAACAGTTTTCAAAATGTAAGTAGTCTTTGACTTTTTGGACTACTTGCTCTCTTGCACATGGTACTTTGATATTCCTGAATCACTTTTGATATACTAAATTGTAACTTTCATATATCATTTCAAATCATTTGTAGAAATTCATTTTTATTGTCTGTTTTCTGTTTAATCAATAGTTTTAACCATTGATTAAACAGATGTTCTCTGCCTTTATAATGTAGTCACTATAAAAAATTCACTATGATAATTGTGTTTCTTTTTTAACTGACTGGGAATGAAATTCCTTTATAACATACAAGGCCATATTATTTACAAGACTGATTAGGCTAAAGCTTAGAGCCCTGCAGGGACTAAAGGATTGTGAAATTTTTTGCTGAGGCACTATTATAAAGAACTCCAATATTTAAAAGCACTGTTCTCTGCAATGTAGCAATATATGTACATATATATTTTTCCATGTATAAATATTTTCATAAGTATACTAATATATATATATATATATAATGATCAAAACATCATATCTGTAATTTTTTTTTTCTGTCCAATGGCAGGATTATTATTAACCAAATCAAAGACAAGTCTGTGTGTCACCAATTCCTTTTAATTTTAATTGGATGTTTATGTTTTTTAAAGGACTTTTTTACCTCTGGTGGCATGAAATCTAAAAAGGAAAGCCTGTCACCGTGAACGTGTATGTATAGTCTGGAATGCAAAATAAATGGTGATCCCTCTTGGGCAGACTTGTCTTCGATTTGGTTAATATCTATAATTCCTAAAATTTTACAGGAGAGCTGAAAAATGTGGTTTTCAAGGAAACAAAATTTTGACTTTGCAGTTTTGAGTTTTTGACAATGTCAGCATGTCAGAGAGAGGGCCTAAAAGGTACACACCATATGCAAGGTATTGACATTATATAGAAATTGACTTCAAAGCCTCATTAACACAAAAATTTGGTTTTGACCATAGTTACAGTGATGAGGTTTTGATTACCAATTGACAATATATGTAAATACATATTGCTTTAATGCTATATAATTTATAATTAATTGATTCTCTTATATAACCTGTGTTAATAAGATAATTAACTGTTCTCGTATTGCAGTGAAACAAATTGTCTTTTACATTAAAACAATTATCTATAAATATATATTTTTTAATAAATAATATTCACTTCAAAATATTATTGTATTGAACAATTATACCCCAAAATGTGCTTTCCTGAAGGTTTCTATTCATGCAATAAAAATATATTAAAAAATTATGAATAGAAAGAATTATTCAGGAGATCCCCAAAATGGATATAGGGCTATGTACTGTGATCTAGTAACTACTATATCAAGGTCAAACTGTCAGCTGTAATGAGGTGAATGGTTGAAGTGCCAGAGGGGGTCCAAATTACCTGAAAGTCTAGAGGCCTGATTATGGATTAATATGGCCTTGTCTATTGTTCAGCTTTCAAACATTTGACTTGTAATGCATTCTTAAAAATTTATATTAATCTGAAAGTCAAAAACTGTCTTAATATTTTAATATGTTGAAGGAAGTTTTGATAAAATCATAGAAAAGTATTTATTTTGACAAGCATCATTACTATGATGAAAGTATTTGTATATTCAAATATTCTTTGGTTTTCTAGCTGAGATATTAGATATATTTTATTTTTGTTCAATTTGCTTAAAATAAACATTTATGAATTGGATTGATAAAGTGTTTTGAAATTTTAATTTATGTTATCAAAATTGTATTTTTACAGATAGAATAATGGAACAGTTATAATTGAATTTGGAAGAAAGAAATTTATTTGCACATCTTAAGGAGGTTACTAAGACTTAAAATTTAAATTTAATATATATTGCAACTTTGTGAGCGATGAGAATGGTGTTATCACAGCGACAAAGAGAAGAGCTGTATGTATTATTTTTATTAAATTATTTTATATAAATTTTCATAAAATATGATTATTGTATACAAAAATTCCAATTTAAATACACAAATTATCCTACAACTTATAATCATAACTTTAAGAATAGATTCCTCATCTGTAAACAGACTGAAAGGTTCATGAATGTAAAGTTCATGAATGTAAGCTTTATTCACAACCATTATACAGCTGTGAAATGTCTTTTTGGCACAAAAATAGAAATACATAAATGATGCATAGTCTTTTATTAATAAAAATAAAACAAAAGCACTGAGCTGAAAGGACAAGTGGCTACAACAAATTTATAAAATGACAACCATAGACTGGAATGCAAAGTCTGATATATAAAAAAACCAAATCTGTAGTATTGCATATAATAATTTAATATTTTATGTACTCATCACCATTTCTAGCAACTCATTAACACTCCAAAGGTCTTTAATAATAAATCAGTTACTGCAGTGTTAATGAGTTATGGAAATGTCAATATTGACCAATAATTGTAAGAGACTGAAGAGGATAATGCTGTGTGAAAGAAATGAATCAAAATTGCTTTCCAGTTAATTGACTATTGGACATATGTTTATGTGATCTTTTTTGCTTTGCTCACAGGTAAGGAATTTTTCAAGTTATGACTATATTGTATATTGTAGAATAATCTCTATAAATTATTATTATTTATTTAATATTTTGAGATTGGTGGAAAAAGTTATTACAGTAGAGCATCGATTATCCGAATATCGATCAACCAAAATGTCAGTTAACCGAAAGCTTTCCAGTCGGCAAATTTAAATTTCCGCTAGTGCTGTGGCACTGCAATCTTTGGCTATGCCTTGGGCTACTCCAATATTATTTTTGTTGGTGTGCGTGATTTAGCTGGCAGCACTGGCGCAACCACTAGAGGGTACTTAAGGACGTGCCAGGATTGGAACGAATTTCAACATGAGATAAGTTAATATTGGACTTCAAACTCACATTTGAGTTATAAATAAACACTTGGCTTTATTTCCATCATTTTTAGTTGATACGTGACAACAGCACGTTTCGGGCATAAAGCCCCTCATTAGTCAACATATCCATTTTTAATCTGTTATACATACAAGGTCTTAATTGGCGCACACAACTTATTTTATAATAAGTGGAGTAGTTTCATTAGAATTTTTTATAAATGATCTTTTACTTATTTGACAATATACAGAAGTCTTAGACATAATCACATACAGGTAGGCCTCCTGCAATACAGTAGATATGTTCTTGAAAATACCATGTTGTGGGAAATCACATTATAGGAGACACCAACTTAATACAGAAATTGGGATTCGGTTCTAAAAAGAGAAAAACTTGGCATTTGTATGGCGTTTTTAAAATTTTTCAAACCAGCTATTGCTAACCACTAATTTAGCACTGGTTTCATCAGCTGATGACTATCCCATTTGTTTTAAATAATCAAATATTTTTAAGGCTTTGTGTTTAAGTGCACTTTTATTTAAAGGCAACCATTTCTTGTTCCTATCTTCTACCCATAATATTAGCGCTTGTTCCATTTTTTCCATTATAGGTGCTCTCGGACGAGCAACATTTTTCGCAAGAATAGATGATCCAGATGCAACCGAATTCCTAATCTTCCAATTGCTTAATCAACTGAGTAGTTGACTCATTTAAATTAAAATGCCTACCAATATCAGCTATCCGCTCTTGATTTTTAATTCAATCCAAAATTTCTATCTTTGTTTGAAGAGATATAAATTTCCTTTTTAACGATGGTTCTTTTCATTCGGCATTGTTATGGCAAGAATTTTTTCAATCAGTTTTGTGGACAGTAAAAATCACAAAAAATTACTTTCCTTCACTATGTTGTTAAAAATGTATACCCAATAGAAGTTTATACTTATTTTGGACCATTTTTGCGGTCCATGCCTATTGAAAGAGTATAAATGATCGAAAATTTAGTGATATATTTGAATGTTTATGGTAACTGATGCATATCTGCCTAGAAATCGATCTTCCCCTGAAATTTTCATGGAAACGGCACATCAATGTTGACAAACAGCTGTTTTCAAGGACATTTAGCTCTGTACACTGAACTGCAGCTCGTATCACGTGATCCGTTGTGAGTTTTTTGTTATGTGAAAGATAATTCGTTTCTAAATACCGTAAATCGCATTGTAAGAAAATTTTCACATTTTTCCAAATGCATTGGAGCAAAAATGCGTTGTAAAGGTACCGCATTGTAGGTGGCCTACCTATATATATACAGTAAAACCTGTCTATGGCGACCACCCACGGTTCCTTCAAAAAGTGGTCTTTTAGGCAGGTGGTCGTCCAATACAGGTGGTGCTGTAATACCGTATTTCCGTGCGTATTTTGCGCACTTTTTAGCCATTTCTACTAAGCAAAACTCGAGGTGAGCAAAAATAAGCGAATTTTTTCAACGATAGGGCTATATTCGTATTGTATTTTATTTTAAAGATTAATACAATACTCGCATTTTCTCGATTATAATGCACACTTTCTTTTTTCCGACTTAATTAATTCGACTCGGTTCTTTTCGTTCTCTCCTCAGTTACGTGTATTACGTCATCAATATACAAGCGCGTCCTATCTCTCCATCACTTTGCTTTTGGTTTTCGTTAGTTTAATCTTATTTTAACTTTAAAAATACTGTATTTTTTAATATTTAATATTTTCTTAATTAATTAAGTACAATAAGAAAAATTATTAATTAATAATAAAACGATTTTATTATTTTTTCTCATTATACGATTTCATTACAATCGCGGAATCGAAAAAGGAAGTAAAACTGATTTTTGCATTAATGCGTTTATTGTTTTTTGAATATTTTGCCTGCGAAAATTACTTGGATATTATTTTTCTAAAAATATCGTGGAAATAAGGTAGGTTGATACAGAAACTATTTATCGCACGTGTACTGTATATGAGCTTCAAAATAAATAAATAAAAATAGATTTTATCAAACGATGAGATCAGCCGATTAATTGTATCGTGTACAATATTTTACACCCCCAAGGAAAATACTGTAGGTCTAGGGTAAAATAAATTTTGTTTTCCCACAGTTAAACTTCGCCGCTAATTGCTGTTGTGATAACTTTAATACGATCTTCTAACGACAGCACTTTGCATTTCGGACATTTTCCAACAAACTGAAATGAATTTCCTTTGTTGCTAGACTAATTTATTAACACCTGCACCTAATTTCGAGGGTGGAAGAAGTGCCCGGGATAGGTTCGAACGAGAGTTTAGACTAATTCATTATGTTAGGAGGTGGAAACGTTGTTGAGATGGGTTCTTACAATAGTTTAGACCAGATACATTCGCGAAAGTGGTCGCTTATTACAGGTGTTGTATGTTGTTTCGAACCAAAAGTCGATGCCCGCGGTTGCGTTACACAGGTGGTCGTTTAATACAGGTAACTTATACGAAGACTCTATGGATAAACTATTCCGTGCCAGAAATTTTTGCCCGTTTTGGCAAGTGCCCGTCGAATGCAGGTGGTTGCCTAAGCAGTTTTCACTGTATATATCTCAAAATATGATGGAAATAAAGTCAAGTGTTTATTTATAACTCAAATGTGAGTTTGAAGTCCAATATATTAGCAAAACAGGTTTCAAAAACAACATAATAAGTTAATATATTTTTTCATACATAATTGGTTATCCAAAAAATTGATTTTTTATCCCCAGTCTCCAATTGATTCAGATAATCAATGCTCTACTGTATATATATATATATATATATATATATGT